TAATAACTTTATATCAAGAATAAGACTAAATGAAATTAAATAAAATTACTTTCTTATTTTTTCTAAGTTATAGTTTCATTTTAAGATCTGATAAATAGTTACTTTATAAGTTTTTTTAATAATTAATCTCAGTGAGATTTATATTAAGAAATGTATGAAATCAGATTAAATAAAATTATATCTAAAATTTATAGTCTTAGTAGTTAGTCTATATATAACTATGTCTGAGTGTAATATAATAAAACTGAAGTAGTAACTAGTCAGCAGTGTTATATAAAGATAGTTATTTAAAAAGCTGTATAAGTAAGCTTAACTATCTTACTTAAATAGTGAGCTTATAAGCTACAGAGTTATTATGAGAATATCACAGATATAATACTCAGTATACTAAGAAAATTATATGAGAAATGCAGTAACTCTTATATATATTTCAGTAGAAGAAAATGAATTACTGACTTCTTTGATTAGAAGTCAGTATCTAGTTATTTTATATAGATAATAAGTGAATACTCTTCTTCTATTCTATAAGTAAGAATAGCTGAAGTAATACCTCAGCAGCATCTCACTGTTATAAAAGAGTAATCTGCTAATCTTATATAGAAGTAAGATTCTTATATTTATTAATCAGATCTTTCTATATTATATCTGAATAATATTATAAAATGACTAAAAACTGATTTAAATAATCTGCAGAATGAATGAAATCGCCCCGGTGACTGAATGGTTAATACGGCCACTCAGTAGCGCCTTGGCGTGGGAAACCAAGGTGTGTGAGTTTGAAACCCGCAGGGGATACATTAAATCCGGAACTCAAGCACCTCAGGTTTCTAATAAATACAGAGGTGTACAAATCACTTCAATAAATTGCTCTATATTCCTGGGCTGGGAAGTTGTTATTGTATGTATCTAATTGTCACTTCTTTGTATTTTCCTATGTTCTTATTATCTTGACATGATCTTAACACCTGTATTTTCCTTCTGTATAATTAACACTTGACCTGTATTTAACATCACGCAAGAACTTATTATAAGCTTCACTTGTATATAAGTATAATGAAAGAATAATAATAATAATATGAATAAAATTATTCACAGAAAGTAATAAGCTATATAAAACTGTAACAGAATCTTAATATAGTTAAGAATATAATAATAATCTTTTCTTTAAGAGTATAGTTCTGATACTTTTAAAATTATCAGATTAGAAATTATCTTTATTATATAGTAATAATTATTAATTAATTAACAGTATATATACTGTATGTAATATAAAGAAATAGATGAGTTTCTCTGCTAACTGTATAAATCTTCTCTTTTCTATCTCTGTTTAAAGTAACTGTATGATAAGTGAATTTCTATAATCACAAACTACTTCATTACAAACTCACTTGATTTTTTGAATAAGAACCTGTCAATAGATTCATTGAAAAGCTCTCAATCAAATGAGCATTTTAATCTCATAGCTGACTGCATATCTCATGTAGTAGTGAAGTTATTCAGTCAAATATAGATCAGATGTTGTTTGAAACTTCTGTGTGAGATTATCTTCTATTCACCTCTATCATATTACAATCTCAGGTTAAATTATCATACAAATTGTGAGATGAATAGACCTAGTCATATGTATCAATCTTCTTGATTTTGAAAGATCTCTGATCTGTAATTATGAAGATATATGAGAAGAAATCTCTGCAAAAACTCTGTTCATCTTTAATGTTTTAAAATATCAATACTAAGTCTCACTCTTAGACTAGCCGGCGGGACTATGAATTTCACATTTGATTTCATTTAATCTGATCTTATACATTTCTTGATATAAGTCTCATCAGAATCAAGTATTAAAAAAATCTGAAAATGAATCATTTCTGAGAGAAATGATGTGAAAAATAATCAGATTTAATACAAGAACAGTGAAATGAGAGTAATTTCTCAGAATAGACTGTGAAAGATGATCATTCTTTCAAAATCAGAATAAGACTAAGACTGAAGATCAAATTCAGTCTCATGCAGTTTATTCAGTGATTGCTTATATAATCAGAATTTGGTAATAATTATTGATAATACTTATGAAATAATTAAATACATTCTTGTATAAGTTTATTCTTTACTTTCTTATGAAAACTACACTTCTCTAATATACTGTGATCAGAGATATTAAACTGTCTGATAATTTCATGTTTTATAATTATGAGTTTCTTGATTATTTCTTCTTATAATTGTCTCTGATAATAGTGATAAATATCTCAGCTTGAGTTGAACTTTTACTTCATTCTCATCTCTATCAATAAAATTGTCAGAATATCACATATCATCAGTACAACAGTTAAATATATACTCTTAACAATTTTTCATAACTCTAGAATTAATTTAATGTGTAAATTCATCAGATTATCTTGAAGATAGCAGTTAAATTCAGTTTTATAAGCATGTAGTTTTGTCTGATTTTCAGTTGTAATCAATGTATGTAAGTTCTGTTTTAAAGTTAGTATTATAGATCTATATGATATGAAGTGTTATCAAAGATTATTACTTACTAGAGAATTATATTTCAATGTCTTCATATCTCTAACATCTGCTTATTTAAATCTCTGATAGTTGACATTGTAATAATCTCAGATTAATTTAACATATAAGTCTCATTTCTTCTTTATTCAATCTTGAAAAGTGTAGATATTAACTTGATAGAAGAGATCTAGTAGAGCTGCTATAGCATAGTACTCTGTAAAAGATTGTTCAGTTTTACTGTAATAATATGCCAGTTTATTTCTTACAGTAATAATAGCCTGCACTATAGTATTATCTCAGACTAAATTTCTTTTTAAGTGATTCAACTACTTCTTAAGATGAGTAAATAAACTGCTATATACTCATCAGACTGACTACTGTATTAATATACAAGTGATTGAAACTGTCTTTATTATCTTATAAAACTGAAACAGTAAATCAATTACATATTTCAACTGAGTTCACTTTATATCAGAAAGTTTCAATATCTGAATCTTTTTCTAATCAGAGTGTTGCACTCAATGATTAATTATCTGATACAATCAAAGAGTCTAAACAGTTATTTTATATGTTAAACTTTACTATAATCTAATATTCTGTATCATATTCAGTGATGTGACTGATTTGTTTATTTATTAAATATTATAGAATCATTATTATTGTTTAGAGAAGATATAAATTATATTAATAATATTTCAAATCTGTGATATTTAAATTATTAATCAATCTATTCAAAATTAACAGTAGTATTATTAAAAAGCATAAAAAACAATATTAAAAAGTGTTATTAAAAAACATTATCTTTTACAAAGTAAATATAAAAGTTACTTGAGTAATTACTTTCATCTTATTCTCATTTCAAGAATCAGTTATTTTATTATTCATCATTTCAATGTTAAGATTCTTTATCAGTGTTTATATCACAAGTTGAACCACATGAGCAATGTAGAGAATATAATCTTATTTATTATTTCAGAAATACAAAGTCAATTTTTGCTTTAAGCTTTTTATTATAGTGTAGTTATTCACAGTACTATCAGTTGTAATTGTAAGAAGACTGAGACTAATATCTTAATAGTCATTTTTAATCACTGTTATTAATACCTCTGCTATATAATTCTCAGTATAACTACTGATTAATGATTTAAATTCAATTAATATTTCTTAATAAGTTCAGTTCTTATTAATATAATAATATATAACTCTTATAAATGTAAGATTATTTATACTAGTTTATACATTCACTGTGAGAGACACTCTTCATTGATTCTTCAACTCTGATTCTAGATATTATATATTAACTTTGTAGTATATCTCAAGATTGAATCAAAGACATAATCAATGTGAAATATGAAGATTTGAATTAAGTATTTAAAGAAGTGTTTGAAATTTAAGATTTTCAATTGATTAAAGAGAAAGATTCAGAGATATATATATATAAAGTAATTATTCACAGAAGTTATTAAATAAGAGTTATAAAATCAGAGTACTGATATATAATCATTTTCATATAATTTTCTTCAAATTAGAAAGTTAGTATTATCAAAAATCATTATCTGATAGAGTAACTTATCAGCTCAGTAGTAATTTTCTGATTATTTTTCTTTTATTATCTGTATTCTGATAACTTCAGATGTTGAGAAATTTCATCAGAGCTATAATCAGTTTATAATAAATGTTTCTGAATAAAGTTACAGTGATTATAGTAGAGAGATGACTTTTCAGTAATCTGTAATACAATCTATTAATAATTATTTCATAGTTTATCTCAATATTTATATTAAGTTTTTCATAAATTTCATGATCTGAAATCAGATGTAAAGAATAAAGTGATTATTTATCATGATTAAAAGAGAGTATTCTGTGTTAAATTGTAAATAATATAGACTTTGTAAGTCACAGTGATTTCTTAAAGAGTTTATGAATCTTCAATAGAAGTTAAAGAAGTGAAAGAAGTGAATTTAGAAGATATAATAAAGATTTAAGAAAGATAATAATTTATTTTTAATAAAGATAATAACTGATCACTGATATATATAATAAGAATTATTATAAGAGAAAATAATCTTCTTTCTTAACTTAGTTATAATTTTAGTACTAACTCAGATTGAATATTATCAATGTATAAAAGTAAATAAACAATCTTGATTAATCTCTATCATATGTCTTGAAATATATTAATATTATGAAAGACAGTGTCATTAAATTATATTATCAGATAATATCATTAAAAATATATTAATATTATAAATATCAATATGGAAAAAATGTTGATACTTATCCGTGATAGTGATTTATGAATCATGATAGTTAAATATATATATATATATTGTTTCGGACATTGATTACAACTTGTACAATAATTTTTGGCAACTTAAAATCAATTTCAATTATTAATAATTATGAACTTATAACTAACTAATATAAAAAGAAAAAAACTTTTTCTACTTATTATCTTTCTTCTCTTTCTTATTCTTCTTAGTATTCTTTACAATTCACTTCTCATTCTTATTCTTCTTCTTCTTCTTCTTATCTGAGATGATAATCAACTTAAAATCTCTCTTAACTGTCTTCTCAGAGAAGAGTTTCTGCTGCTTCTCTTTAGTCAGATCAATCTGTATCTCAAAATCCCGCATTTTCTGATCTGCTGCCTCAGGTTTCATCTCAGTGATAAGTAGATTAACATGCTCAGAGAGTAGAGCTGTCTTCTTAATATTCTGAATTATGAAGTACATTTAAGATCTGAATAAGATCTTAATTCTCTTCTCTATCAGCTTCTGCTAATTAATTAGAGAATAGAAGTATTATCAAAAATTATTATCTCTTAATAAATAAAAAACTTATCAGTTTTATCTTCTTTATCTCTTACTTTAACACTCTCTCAATCTTCTTTTATTATTACTTATTTATAGTAATACTCTTCTTCTCTCTTTCTCTCTTCATTTTAGTCTTAAATCATTCTCAGAACTTCTTCTGATTTTATTACTACTATATAAGACTCTTCACTGTCTTCTTTTTCAATCTCTTATAGATGATGTTATTCATATTATTTCTATACTTAGTTCAGTCTAAATCTATTAGAAGTATTACTTAAAATTATTATCATTCTACTCTCTTATAAAGCCTCTTCAAGACATTATAACATATCTTACAATCTGTCTTTTCTCACTTAAATACCTTCTTCTTCTCTCTCTTCAATCTGTGACAGCACTCATATATCTTGATAATTCACAGAACTGCAGAATATTTGAAGAGAAATAATATAATTAATTTCAGTAAGTGTTAAAGAGAGATAAAGATAGAGAAGACAGTCAGAAATAATATAATAATAATAATAATAATAATAATGATAATAGTGATAATAATGATGATAATAATAATAATAATAATAATAATAATAATAATGAAAGAAGAAGTGCATTGAAATATATTACTGACTTATCAAATATAAAGAGACTTAAAGAAAATATTAACAGCTTTCAGAGATGTACAGAAACAGCTACAGTGTTATATAACAATATTATCTTCATTTAATACATGCACTGTTAATATTCTTTATATACAGTTATTATAAAATCTATATCAGAGATACATACAGAAAACAGATCTTTATTATTAGAGAGAATGATTACAGTGATTCTCTGTTTTTATATTATAAAGATAAGTTATTTTTATTTCTTTCTTCTCTCTTTTCTCTTCTTCATTAACTCATCACTAAGTTCAAGCTGGTATGAAAACTATTGAAACACTCTTAGAAACTCTCAAATTGAAGAGTATAGACTAATTAAATTTTAAATACAGAAGAATTAAATTATATTTAATATTACTAATTATTCATTCTCTCTTAATAAAATAACAGTTGTGTCTTTTCTCTTCTCTCTTAAATAAAACATAGTCTGTGAAAAGTGAGTATCATGTCAGATTATAATGATTAACACAGTCTCAGCACACAGAGCTGTATACATACAGTGCATACTGAACTGAGAGACTATATGAGTTGTAAATCAGCAGCAGCATGTCAGAGAGAGTCATGCAGTGTGAGAAAGCTACAACTCTCAGTTATATATATAGAGAGTAAATTATTACAGTAAGTATATATACATTGTATAAAAGTAATACTTTTTAATAATACTCAGTCTCTGATATTATGAAAATAGAGTCTCTCTATAAGATTTATTTTTATCAAAAGTCAGAAAATCTTATATTTTTCAAGATTATCTTCACATATCTTATTTATGAAATTGATGAGAGAAATCATTGATTTCAGTATTCTATTCTTGATATTATTCAAGTAACAGCAGAGTTCACTCTGATCACACTTTTTAAGTGTATATTTTCTAAATATTCACATTTATATAGATATATACTGATTATTTATTAGATAATATTAAGACAATAACTCATCACAGCTGTATTACTCTCACTATAAGAAATACACAGTTAATAATAAATATTGTAAAGACTCTGAAAAGTAAGTATTTTGAAAATACTGCAGCTCTGTGATCTTGATTTTTTTTATTTTTATTTTTTATTTTTTTATTTTTCTTTTCTTTTATTTTTTTTTTCATTGTGATTTTTTCTTGTTTTTGTTTTATTTTTTATTTTTTGTTTTTTTTTTATATTTTATATTTTTTTCATAATTAAAATTATATGAATTATAATCTGTGTTCAGAAAAGTAATAATATTTAATAACACTCTCTATTGAATTTTTAACAAATGAGTACTATATTATGATATTATGTAAGTGAGAAGTGATTTTATAATCTCATTTAATATCATTCTCAATAATGAGATCAGAATGAAAATGTGACTAAGAATTCAAATATATTCTTTATTCTGAACTAGATTTTTATTTGAAAAGTGAATCTGAAATCTTTAATATTTAAAATAACATGATTTGAGATTAATGTAATGAATACAAATCATAATCAGAAGTAATACTTTTAGACAATATAATAACTGTAAAGTTTGATTCTAATCTCAGACATGATTACATAATCAGTCTACTCACTCTTATACTGCTCTTTTCAATCTGACTTATCTCTGATAGAAAAATACAAAAAGATATCTCAGTAATAATATCAAGTATATAATTAATAAATATATCTGAAGTGTAATCTCTGTGAATACTCTGTTTATCTTCAGTGTATCTAGACATCAATATTGAGTCTCACTCTTATACTATTTCTTTCAATCTAGCTTATTCTTAGCAGAAAAAATATAAAAAGATATCTTGATAACAGTATTCAATACATAATCAATGAATAATAAGTTAACAGTATATTAATAACTATAAAATCAGTATACTTTAAGATCTGACTGAGTCTTTGATCTCTGTACTGTGAGATATATTAAATCTAGTTTTAATATCTTAATATTTAATAGATTCTTTAAGAGATTGAGAATAGTAATACTAAATTTCTATTGAATTTAAGAATTAACTCTATATTAATATAATTATTGATAAAGTCTTCTATTTTGAGATATAAATAATTAGTTTCTCTACATCTCACTGATAATATTTATATTATTATATAGAAACAGACTTACATTCTCTATAATATCAAGACTCTGAAGAGAGAAAGTCTTGATAGAGAATATATAGTAGTACATATTCTAGCAGTTTCTATCTCATTCTTCTGCAGCAGTTAATATAAAAAAATATCTTAGAAATAGTTTTTTACTTCTCTTAAAAAAGTAAAATGTTTTTGTCTGAGTTTTACACAATATTCTTACAAAGAATTAAAAATAGAGTTATTTTCTATCATAATTTTATATTCTTTTAAGTAAGAATTACTTTTTCAGTGACTGAAGAGCTTTTATTAATACTTAATTCTTTTTTACACTCTTTATTAACTGATTTGAGTTATACACTTGTTATGTGAGAAGAATTGAATAATTTAGAATAAAATTAAATAGTTTTAATCAATTTCTCTGTAAAAAATTGATTTATTTATTATCAGTTTTTCTCTCAAAAACTGTTATAATATCTGATTTATTATTAATTGATATTATACTTTTTCTCACTGTATCTCAAGAAAGAGATTATAAAGATTTTATTAATTTATCTTAAAAATTAATTTTAGTTTATTAGATTCTCTTCAAAAATCTAATCTAGTTACTGAACTAGTATGAAAAAAATCAGGTGTTTTATATATAAAAGTCTTTTATTCTTCTTTTGAAACAGTCTGATTAACTTTTTAATTGAAAACAGACTTAGAAATCTCTTAATTAAAACAGTCTGATCAACTTTTTATTGAGTGAGAATAATGAGTGCAAAAATACACTCAGTTAATGTGGAAAAAGATGCTTTCTTAAATGCTATTTCAGAGATTGAAATTCTGAAGAGAAGAAAGAAAGAAGAAATAGAGAAATAACAAGTTCTTGAAATACAGAAACTTGAAAAAGTAAGTAAGATTCTTGAAAAGCAGTATCTGAGTGAGATAAATGAAGAAGTTCTGTTAATTCTTCATACTCAGACTAAATAACTATAGAAGATAATTAAGTTTAAACTTGAGATTCTAAACACAGTTTAAAAAACATTGAAAATTTCTAGTATAATCACTGACTCTTCATTTTACTCTTCTTCTTTTTCTACTTCTTCTTCTTCTTCTTTAAATTAGAAGAAAATATATGCTCAAGCAGCTGAATCTACTATCTCTAAATCTGCTATCTCAAAATCTGCTTAAAATTCTGAGAAAACTGAGAAGAATACTGCTCATACTTCTATTCATAGAAAAGTAGAGAAAAAAATACAAAAAGAGAAAAACTTTCAAATCTTCAGAAATAGAAGACTTATTCTCAAAGTCTTAAATCAGAATATCTTACAGAGAAACAAGCTAAACTTAAATCTTATTTTCAGAATTAGAAATGAAATTAATCAGCAGTTCTTTTCTCAGTTAATAACTGATATTAAAGT